TATAAACTTGCACAACTTTAGGGAATTCCAAAATTCTTTAAAAGCAATGAACAACATTCTGAAGTATACACACACTGCCATAATGCAGGAAACATAACAGCTAATGTTCCACACTGTAGAGATTCTATGATTCTATAATGCTTAAATTGTCTTTTAGTGACAAGTGTCGGAGAAACACAGTGACTCAGATTTTATGATGGAATAATGGAAAACTGTTGGCAACAGTTTTTGTTTCTCTGAGAAACTGAAAGCAACTCTCAACATCCACACCTTGTACTTAAACTGAAAACCCAGACTCTGTCATCAATTCCCTATTTGTCCACAAGGTGTGCTGTTGAAATCTTTGCAATTGAAATCAAAAGAAATTAGTGAATTGATGTGAACTTCCACTTTTAAGCTAACATTCTCATTGTTGTAAACAGTTTTTGAAAAAGTTATGCCTTCTTGAAGAAGGTATAACTGGATTTTTCATTGAGTACTGAGCTCATTATTAGTGCTGAATGTTTTTTGCCTCACTATAAGTTAAATTTATATCCCTGGAATAATGTTAAAATATTAATAATTCCATATATAAATTGGGGACCAAGTAGTTCAGTTGGCGAGGTGGCTAGCAGGTGGTTCAGACCCAACAGCATGGGTTTGATTCCTATTGCAGCCGTGATCTGCCTCCTGTCTCTACTGGCATTGGAACACAATGGCAAATAAGCTACCAAGAAACGGCTGAGGATGAAGCATTGACAGACAATGAGCCAAGGATCTGTCTTCAGGTGGAGCACACATGAATAAGTGTACAAATGAATGTAAATCATGAAACAAAATAGAATGCTAAAACTACTTGTCATTTCCCAGTTTGCTGTAGGTTGGAGTTCTCTGATGTGATTGTCCGTGTCGGCTGTTTGATAGAATCACTGTTGTTGGATAGCAGAGATCCCTCCATTGGATTAATATTGGGAAGGGTGAAATTAATACCACTGAGTTCTCTAGATGCTTTGTTTGAATCAGGAACAAGTGCAGTCAATTTGCCATTACTTAAATAATTAAGGTCCTTAATGCAATATATATTTTATGAAAACATTCAAACATTAACTAACAGTGTTAACTGCCAACTTCTTACATCTTTGGACACTAATGTCACTTTCTACTGGACTGACATCTAGATATCTTCTTGATTATTTCTTCCTAATTTTCTCCAGAACAATTCCCTTATGTTGTAGAATTTATAAATCAGACCTATGACACAATGAGCATACTCATTGAATCAATGTTCAAAATACACAGGGGCAGCAAGCAGATTTGTATGTCCTTGAAAGTCCCTGAAATACTCAGGAAAATCCACTCACATAGCCACCAATGGACAAAAGTCACCCCTGCGAGTAGTGTGGAAGGAAATGGTGAGTAATCACACCTTTAATCATTGACAGATTCTCATTCAGGTTTGCTGCTGATAGGCTCATTGTTGAAAATAAGTCAAAATAATTTTTATTTTTTGAGGAGTGAACTTGATTTTCTAGAGGGTTACTTTTTGATTTTCAGGGGCTTTTCTTTATTCTCAGCAATTATTTAGGTGATGCCATCACATAGTAACAGTATCTTCCCTATTTGTGCTGTCGTATGGGATGTTTAGGCTCATGAAGAAGCATAATTAGAAGAATTCATCAATATTCTCAACAATTATCATATTTCCATTAAAATTTAAGCTACAAGGAAAGGATTAATTTCCTAGACACCACAGTATTTAAATTTGTACAATAGACATTAGCTAGCAAGAGCTTTTTTTTCTAAATAACTGACACAGACGCATGAAAAACAATCAATCTAATCACACCTTCTGCAGACTGGTGAGGTCATAGCTAATGCATTTCAATTTCACATGCATAAAGTTAGAACATTTTAACCAGGCAGTTATAAGCTTATTTACCGCATTTCAGATCTCAATCTCAGATTTAAATTTAACAACTGACAACATTCTTTACAGTATGATCCACTACGAAGTTTCCAAGTATAGTAGCTCTTGAACTTATGCAGCCATAAACGAGACATTCCATATTTATTTTAATAGTTCAAGATTTCAATGATTTGTCATTTTCTTGGATCCAATTGGCTGAGTATTTCTTTGTTCACAGATTTAAAACAGTGGCGCCTCCTTCCATTTTCCCCCTTCCCCATCTTCGACACCATACTTGCAGCCTCCTTCTCTTTCAACCCCTAACTGCTACCAGAGTTCGCTTCCTCTCCACCCTCCCTACACCCACCACTGCCTCCATCTCTTTCCCCAAACCTTCCTCCTTCCACCTCTGCTGTCCCTGGTTGACACCTCCAAACTGGAACAACTACTCTGATCCAGAAAAAGGCCCACCAAGCCTCTGCAAAAGGCCGTGCATCCCAGCTCATGTGTTTTTTTGCAGCCACCAGCCCCTACCCACTCTCAGCCCCATCCTATCACTGGACCTCAATTCCCTGTGCCAGCTGGACCCTGACACCTCCCTGCCTGCTCTCAGCCCCAAGCCCCATCATTTGCCCTCACCATCCTTCACAAGAACTTATAGCTCATCGCAAGACTCCAGCTCCTGGCAAAAAATGAGTGCCAGAGATAGTAGGAACTGCCAATGCTGGAATCTGAGATAACAAGGTGTGGAGCTGGAGGAACACAGCAGGCCAGGCAGCATCAGA